TACTCCAATGTAGCTCCGTTGACTTCAGTGGCGTAACTCCTGATTTACATCAATGTGGGTTTAGAATCAGGCCCTCCATGTATATGTGAGGTATTGGCATATTTCACTCTTTCATCAATTGGGATTTGTGTTTGTTATTTTGTCTGTCTGTGACTCCCTTACCCCAGAGATGACTACTAGATAAAAACTGTAACATGCTATTTCTTCTCCATGCTGTGGCCGGAGTTGGGGAGAACCCAATGTTCATTCTGGGCACAGGAGCTAGAAATCCAGGTCAAATTTTGTAAATAGATTAAGGTTAACATTTAAAGAGACACTGTCAAATAAAAAAACATGTTTCACTTTTAAACTATAGATTTGGTTGTGCTACTAATAGTATTTAGATGACTAAATCTGAGCACTTTAAAAATACATACAAATGTAATCATTCATATGCTCTCTGCACTTAATCTCCCTGTATTATAGGCAGGCTGGTAGTACCCAGGGCCGGCGCTTCCACTAGGCAACCCTAGGCGGTCGCCTAGGGCAGCAGGATGTGGGGAGCGGCATTTCGCCGCCCTCTGCGGAATTTCGGTGGTGAGGGGCTTCTTCCGCTCCGGGTCTTCGGTGGAAATTCGGTGGCGGGTCCTTCACTCGCTCCGGGAGCTGCCGCCGAAGTGCCCTGAAGACCCGGAGCGGAGGGACCCCTGCCGCTGAGAACGCAGCTTCAGAGGAGGAGCTGCCGCCGATTACTGTGGAGGAGCGCTGCCGCCTAGGGCGGCAAAAACCCTGGTGCCGCTCCTGGTAGTACCACCTATTATTAAGGTTGCTCAATATTTCCCATTATAAGACTCTGTTTTCAGTTGCTTATAACTTTGCCAAACTTTAACCATTTAGGCTGAAAATTTCCATTCTGGGTATCTGCCTCAGGCTGAATTAAAAAAAATAAAATTCAGCCAACACTTTACAGGCGTTTCCGAGAACGAGGCTAATGCAAAACATGTCAATCTTTTCAAACATATTTGAAACCCATTGGCAAAGTGTTCCATTCCCCTTTAGCATTGGTTCACATAGAGGATGACAGTTACTTGTTAGCTCAAATGGCAAAGATCCGTGTGGTGGGGCTAAAGGTTGCAACAATGCTGATAACCCATATGGATGTCAATATGCTGCCACATGATGGAAATTGTTTTTTCAGTTTGTTTTTTTTAAAAACCTCAAAAATCACATACACAAAACTACATTAAAAGAACATTATTAAAGTTGCACAGTCAAGCGCTCAAAGTTAGGCTGTGTCCTAATTCACCTCCCTTGTGTGTATGCATTACAATAAAGTCTTTAATTACATGATCATATTCAATTTTTTCCACAGGTCCCCTGCTTCATTCAGTTCTTTGTATGTAATAATGGAAATAGATTGGTCAATTTAGCTTTTTCTTTCTGATTGGTTTCACTTTCTGGTTCTCAAATTTAGCACAGTGTTTACCACTCACGTGGTAAATACTGCAAGGAATTTTTTAAGTGCAAACAAAAATGATGTTTTAAATAAAAAGAGTGAGAACATTTTTGTTAATATAAAGTTTTATAGAGTTTGTTTTCTGAACTACGTGCTATTTATACTTTAAGAGAAAGGAATCCTTACCTCATGGAGCATTCTATAAATACAACCCTGTGCTGGAAGGGCAGGGTTGAATCTGTAGATATATGAGAAACATTAACTTCTATATAAAGATTGTTAATCTCTCTTTACTTTGCCAAAGATAAAGATTTCTGTTTACAGCAGAACCTGATCTGTTAGACTAGGGTTTCACCTGTAGATTTGATAGATGCTGATTCATCTCATCCCTCTGATCATGTGTTAGCACTGAGCTGGCATTCAGATTAGGTGCATATCAGTCAGTGCTTTAGCATTGAATTCTCAAGTCTGAGCAAGACTGAACCTTTAGGAAGAGTGAAAGAACAAGATGTTAAGGGAGCACTAACTCTAATGAGACAAAAGCTATTAATCCTTCCACTGTAGTTTCTTGCAGTAACACTAAGGACCCGCACCAAGACAGCTTCCTGATGTTCTATTAGCATAATATCACAGACAGCAGGAGTTTAGAAATATTCGTCAGCATCAAACAAATCTATTTCCCTGTGCAGAGATGTCATTCAGATGGGAATCATTATTGATAAAAGCAGATACATATATAGGTACATACATATAGGTACATATATTTCTTCTGATCCTGTCCGAATTGGGAGAGAGGCATGGAGGGTGGACTCATGAGGAGGGGATGAACATATCTCTTCCTAACTTGGGAATATGCAGGGAGTTATACATTATTCTGTTTTATCAGCTGTATTTGAGGAAGCAGCTGGATCCACAAAAAGGTTGATGGAACTGTTGCTCATCCCTGTACACTGTTCACTTTTCTTCTGGTCTGTTGTGGATGTTTCCACAGGATGATGGCATCAGCTATACTGCAAAAATATGGATCCTCTGAAGAAGCAGAGCAGGAAACAGAAGAGTCGGATGAGAAAGATGTAACTGAACTAGACTTTTTACCAAGAGAACTAGAAAGAGAAGATAATGCCTTGGACACCATAGACCAGGATACAATGGGGTGTGAAGAGAAGAAAAGAAGGATTCAAGATCCTAACATATCCATGAAAAAGAAAAGAAAGAGAAAGAGGTTAGAAATAACTATTGAAAGGGCTGTAAAAGTCCTGAAGAGGGCAGAATATGTTTATAGTCGAGCTACTGAAAATAGAGGAGGGTAATGGGGGGGGGAAGAGATGTTGGAGAACAGGGTGTTCAGAGTGGTGCTATGCAGAAGGGGAGGAACACAGGATTTTTGTAGTGAGAGGGATAGATAAGTGTTGTGTTGGAGTGGAGGGGAAAGGAAAGTGTTCTGGTGTTCAGAAAAAGTGATGATTTTAAGTTTTGTAGGCTGTCAGCTACTCAGAGGAGGGACTGCCTTTTCTTGAATGTATAGAAAGACCTAACAGGTAATAGTTACTACCATAATAAATAGTAGTAATAGTTATATACTAGTTTTCATGGAAAGAACATAGTTCAGTGGAGCTCTGGTTCTGATGTGAAATGGATTTGCTAGTAAGGGTTGCAGAATAGCCCAGGAGAAGAAGAACGTGTACAATCTCTGAGCATAAATATTTTCTGTTAATCCCCATTCGCCCTTTGATCACTTGGCCTTTGGCTCATGACTTTGGGGAATCCCATTCATAGGTTGATTCCTAAATAACCAGTCTTGTTGAGTAACTGCCATATCTTTGTCTCGCACTGTAACAGAAAGAGTGCTCTTCCTATAAACTTAGTCACATTGGTTCCATAACTACTGTTTTTCTAGTATTCTGGTATTCTAGTATTATTTTTTATTTTATCTTTACAGGCATTTCTGTAGTGCTCATCACTGGATTCTCTTTCTAGATGCGTAGTTATTTGGTTTGTCTCCAGCAAATAATTTTCTAAGTGACCACTGAGCAAAAAAAACAGTGATCAATCCTGGTGAATAGCCTATCAGATGAACATTTAGATAATGCTTTACATAAATTTATGGAAGTAGAACTGTAAAGTTCCCAGGGCTTCCCCATAAAGCATAAACTGGTCCTTGTCTGTATGCCTCTGTCTTTCTGCTTTTTTAAATTTTTTTCCAGATGACCTGTGATAAGTCTGACCAACTGCAAGTATGAGAGTGGTGAGTATCTTTCTCATCTTTCCCAAATGTAGAAGGTAAGGCAAAGAATTGTGACCCAGTCGATTCATGTAAAGAGGGGTACATTTTAATTTGCTCTTAAGAAAAAGAGCTCAGTTTAAAATGAAATTTATTTTGTCATGTGACTTGTTAACTGAATTTTAGTGCTTATGAACATGCCCTAATGAAAGCATCATTTAGAAACCTCATGCAGTCTGGGCAAGAATTGTTCAAGATTCCCTTACTAGTGAAACTCATTCCTGACCCACAGCATTCCTGTTATACCACGTATTTGGCACCACATACACTGGGAGAGCTCTCTCATTATTGACCCACAGCATCCCTGGTATTTTATTACTTGCCCTCCCCAAGCATAGTCTGCTAATGAGGCTGAATTGTCTAAAGGGACTAGCTTGTGATCATCAAATATGTTTCCCTCATCATGATTGAAGTTAGGCAAGAATTCATATCCATGAACTTTTGCCAGGGCAAGATTTGAATTCTTGTCATGGATTTGGAACATGGGGAACCAGTTCAAATGGCTCCATTCCACATAAAATGAATCATTTAATTTTTTTATTTCAAGAAGTTCTGCTTTTCACCAAAAAGTAACAGAGGGTCCTGTGGCACCTTTAAGACTAACAGAAGTATTGGGAGCATAAGCTTTCGTGGGTAAGAACCTCACTTCTTCAGATGCATCTGAAGAAGTGAGGTTCTTGGGAGCATAAGCTTTCGTGGGTAAGAACCTCACTTCTTCAGATGCATCTGAAGAAGTGAGGTTCTTACCCACGAAAGCTTATGCTCCCAATACTTCTGTTAGTCTTAAAGGTGCCACAGGACCCTCTGTTACTTTTTACAGATTCAGACTAACACGGCTACCCCTCTGATGCTTTTCACCATTAGTCAGAAAGACCAATGCAACAACAACACAAGCTTACTCCATCTCGCAATGTTTGCTAGCTAGTGTGAAGTTTCTAGCAGCAGACTGGAGAGGTCAACTTGTTCAGTAGTCACCAGTGACTGTCCAATTTGTCAGAGAAAATGGATGATTTTGGGGCAGCATATCCATAGAGATTAGAGGACTGGAAGCTGCCACTCAAAGTGGAATTGGGGTCTATAGATGGCTGAGTTGAGTGGTATAACTGATCCATGGTTCAATATCTCCTTCTGAGTCCAAACAGAATTTTCTAAAGTCTACATTTCTAGTATGATTGAAACTGTTTCTTTTCTTACGATGCAGTGCGTCGGGCTGCTCAGCAGTATGGCTTACGGGAAGCAGGTGAGAATGATGAGTGGAACCTCTATTGGACAGACTATTCAGTCTCACTGGATCGGGTAATGGAAATGAAAAGTTACCAGGTACTCAGCTCTGTGAGATGGAGAGGATATTAAATTATTACTTTTTTCCCCAGTGCAAATGACCTAGAGACCAGGAAGATGCTTATTATTACGCCTTTTCTCTGGACTTCTTTCCAGAAAATCAACCACTTCCCTGGGATGAGTGAAATCTGTAGGAAGGATCTGCTGGCCAGGAACATGAGCAGGATGCTAAAGCTCTTTCCAAAAGAATTTAACTTCTTTCCCAGGACCTGGTGTCTTCCTGCTGAGTGAGTCTTCCTGACAATGTTTACTGATTGATTTTCCTCGTCTTGCTTCTCTTCACCATCACCCTCACTTTTTCCTCTCATCCTTTATGTCAGCCTTCCTTACTTTGGGCCTGAGTTTCCTCTTACACCAGTGTAAATTGAGAGTAACTTCTTAGAGCTCCATGAAGATGCACCAAAGTAAAACTTGAGCAAGGAAGAAGAGAATCAAACCCATTATCTTTCTGCTCTCTTCTTTACCCAGAGTAATGGAAAAAGACGAGGAACATTTTCATAGTAGAATGATGTCGCTTTGAGCTGAATGCAGCAGGAGTGTGTTCATTGGCGATGCAAGCCCTTTGGCAGTGAATGGAATAAAATTCCTTTTATTTTTCTGGATGAAGTCCATTGCTGTATTACTCAATGGGATGAGGTATCTTCCCTTGTTGGAAGAGGAGATGATTTCTACATCATATTAAAAGTCTCTTTTCTCTAAAAATCAAAAAAGGGATCATTCCCATAAGACTGTGTGATTCACTCCAAATTTGCGTCTACTGGAAATAAAGGTTTACTGAGAGCTAGAGAACAGGTTGTATTCCTGGCTCTGGAGAGACAGATTTTTTTCTTTATGATCACTGGTTCTGTAAACATTTGCATTTGTCTGCCAAAACATTTCTAGCATTGGTAGGCTGTGAGACATCAAACCTCAGAATCATGTAATTCTTTCTTTCCCTATAGCTACGGAGATTTGCAGACCTATAGCAGATCAAGGAAACATAAGACATATATCTGTAAGCCCGACTCTGGCTGTCAGGGGAGAGGCATCTTCATCACCAGATCTGTGAAAGACATAAAACCCGGAGAGGATATGATCTGCCAGCTCTACATCTCAAGGGTAATCTCCCTATTCCACATACCAAGACTACTGTTCCGTCATTAAACCAGAATTTAATTCAGCTCAGCCTTGCTTGCCTGTGATCAGCCGGTCATAAACAGCAGTCATTGCCTTTGAATACATGCCCGTTGAAATAATCCCTCTTTTGTGTGCCATTGGGTTCCTAAGTAATTTTTGAATAAGCTTTTTATATAAACTAATTCACCTTTGCTGGGTGAACCTAACTGGATGAGGGAAATCTCCTTCCTGCTGTAGAGTGAGTTAGCTCTCAAAGATACACAATATTTTCGTAGGCCCAACTGGAGGAGAGAGTGAAGGGATTGTTTGTACCCAGTCCCACAAACCTGCTTATAACCTATCTTACTCAAGAATCTTTTGGTTGACATCTTGGCATTACTCTCTCTTCATAGCGAACATCCACATTCAAGCCTCCAAGATCTCCTGTGTCTTTGGGACACCTATAATCAGGGCCGGCTCCAGGCACCAGCAAAGGAAGCAGGTGCTTGGGGTGGCCAATGGAAAGGGGCAGCATGTCTGGGTCTTCAGCGGCAATTCGGCAGCGGGTCCCTCAGTCCCTCTCTTCCTCTTTGAGCTGCCGCTGAAGAGGAAGAGAGGGAGCAAAGGACCCGCTGCTGAATTGCCGCCGAAGAAGGAAGTGGCACTATTGAACTGCCACCGAAGTGCCGCCGATCGGCTTTATGTTTTTTTGTTTGTTTTTTGTTCTTTTTCCTCTTCGCTTCGCCGCTTGGGGCAGCAAAAAAGCTGGAGCCAGCCCTGCCTATAATGTTAATACCAGAACCTACGTTTTTACTCTGGTTTGTTCTTTCATTTTGATTATGTTTCATTATTATTCTTTATTACTGATTTTTAAGAGAGATAAAGCATGGTCTGGTGAGCTGGGATTCAGAACTGCTGGGTTTTATATCTGCTCTTGCACTGACTCACTGTGCGGCTTTCAGCAAATCACTGTTCCGGGTCTGTTTCCCCACCTTTAAAATGGGGGGAAGCCTATCTACCTCATAGGGTCTATGTGACGATTAATGAGTTTGTTCAACGCTCAGAACATGTAAAGAACTCTATGATGGATTTCATTATTATTATAGTGTTGCGGCTGTCCTCAGTACCATAGAATACATTATTGTTCTTATCTTCCCTAATTTCCCAATATTTGAATAACTATAAGAAACATCATTTATAAGAGGAAGGTACTCTAGCAAGAATTGATTATATACAGGATACTGGGGTTACCTGTAAATTGTTGTTTGCATTATAGTAGAACTCAGGACCACAAACAGAATTAGGGCCCATTCTACTGAATGCTATATAACCATATTAAGAACACCTAGATCTATTAAGTGTCCATGACTAGTTCTAATAATGTGATCTTATTAAAATGATCATGCTCTGCATAAGGTTTGCAATTACCCTTATTCGGATGGAATGTCTTAACCTAGATAGTTTCCCAATTTCTAAAATGGAGATAGATAAGGAAGTGTTGTTATCTCCCAAAGGATGCTGGACGGCTTAATTACTGAATATCTGCCTAGCACTTTGAAGAAGGAAGGTGATGTCTATGGGCTAAGTATTGTTATAAGGTTTGCATGTCTTGGTTCTGTGTTTTCAGTGTGTAGGTGGGACTGTACAGCTATATCCATCACCTCAGCCTTGAGTTAATGAGTTACTAATGTTCTTCTTGTACTTCAAACAAACTATAAGCAACTCAGTTCCGTCTTCTCTTTTCCAGCCTTTTATTATTGATCGTTTTAAGTTTGATCTGAGGATTTATGTGCTGGTGACATCATGTGACCCTCTGAGGATATTTGTCTATAATGAGGGCCTTGCACGCTTTGCTACATCAGCCTACTCTGATCCCTCACACAGCAATCTGGTGAGTAAAGAACCCTGTTAACATAAATTAACAGCATTCAAATTCATAACAGGAACTAGCTGTTGAAATGTAGTGGCACAGAGAAACAATAATGCTTTGGACTGCTACAATACCTTTAATCTGAGGATCTGCACGCCCTTCACAAACAATAATAATTAAGCCTCACTTCATCAAAGTGACATGGGTAAGGTTATAGATGAATCATCTCACCCACCACTGAAATGCAGCCACCTCTGTTGTAGAATATAGCTAGAGTTTAACAGCACACAGTAACACTACATAATAGTTTCTGGGCAGTTAGGGGCTGATCCTGCAAACACTTACATATCACAATGACTTTAATCATGCAAGTGGTCCCATTTAAATGACCTTAAGACTGTGTTGGGCTCATTAGAGTGATGAGATAAGTACTGCTATTAAATGTCTTGCACTTAAAAAAATTTCTGCATTAAGTAGTGTGACCAGGTATCATCATGTACAGGGAGAGTGAAGAAGGCAGTTGTCTCTCACCCTATAACCCACTCGTTTATTTGCAGGATGATGTCTGCATGCACCTGACTAATTATTCCATTAACAAGCACAGTACTAATTTTGTCCGAGATGAAGATTCTGGAAGTAAGAGGTAAGAGGGAGAGAACATTAATCACAGCCAAGTGATGCTAGTCTGTTCTCATGAATCTTCATATGCATTTCCACACTTTTTTCATATATGTTTAGGAAATATTTCTTTCCATGCAGCCAGTGAACAGTGTATTTTGTGTCATTAGTTATATAAATCATTTAAAGAAAGTCAGATGAGTAACAGTGAGAGGCCAGATGCAGGAGAGAAAAAAGTGAACTCTCCTTCAAATTGGAAATACCAATGCATTTGTTGCAACTGGTGCTTCTGGATTACATCACTCTGTTTATTGTCCTTGGTGGTTACGTTTGGCTATCTAATGTAGATAAATCTATATATAATGATCAGTCAGGTTTTTTCCCTCTTGCCTACATTCTTCTCCCAGTCTTCCTCTACTTTTCTTTTCTTCTAAACCATGTTTCTAGCTGTTTCTACATAGTACCCTGTCCAGTGCACTAGGACTTCAGTGCTATCAGTTTCTTCTTAGCAGTACTGCTCTTTGCCAATAGCAGCAGGAACTCCAGCAGTGCCAATGTTTCTTCTGCAGTGCTCTGTTGGTGCCAGAAAGGCTCCAGTAGAATGAATTGACTTGGAGCAATGCCTTGGTCACTGTCCAATAGTGTATGTCTTCTTTCCATTTCCTATCCTAAAGCCTTGTCTACACATGAAAGTTGTACTGCTCTGACTATACCAATATAGTTAAAGCAGTACAGCCCCCCTAGTATGGACACCGTTATATTGGTATAAAGATGCTTTATGCTGGTATAGCTATTCACATACAGGAAGGGGAGGGATAGCTCAGTAGTTTGAGCATTGGCCCTCTAAACCCAGGGTTGTGAGTTCAATCTTGGGGGGCCATTTAGGGATCTGGGGCAAAAAAATTGGTCCTGCTAGTGAAGGCAGGGGACTGGACTTGATGACCTTTCAAGGTCCCTTCCAGTTCTATGAGATAGGTATACCTCTCTCTCTCTATATATATATTTTTTATTATAAGGGGAATAATTATACTAGTATAAGGTACCTTTGTACCAGTATAACTGTGTCCACACTAGGGCTTATATTAGTATAACTATATCATTAAAAATCCCCCCCCCCAACTGACGTAGCTATACTAATACAATTTTCAAGCATAGAACTATCCTAAGAGCAAGAGGTTAATTAGGTTCTTCTTTTTCATACAGGGAATCCTTTCCCATATATCTGGGATCCTCTCCCCGTCCCTATTAGCAATAGGGTAAAGGCAGGCAGGACACACTTTACTGACATTCATAGTATGCTTGGTTGAGAACCTACGTATTAGTGTGTCTCCCATCCTCAGTGTCTGAGAAGCACTTACATTGATCTATGCAAGAGTTTGACTAACAATTTGTTCTGTTAATCCTTATTTTGTTTCTGCGGGTATGTGGATCTCCATGACGCCCAAATTTCTATGCTTCACTTAAGCAGCATGGAAACATACAGAAAAATGCTTACTGTGAACTGATTTGCCATTAATATGGGCTACCAACTTACTTTTTTTCTTCATAGGAAGCTCTCCACCTTTAATAAGTACATGCAGAAACATGGCTATGATACCGACCAGATGTGGCTGGATATAGAAGATGTTATTATTAAAACCCTGATCTCAGCACATCCTATTATCAAACATAACTATCACACTTGCTTCCCCAACCACACTGTGGGTAGCGCTTGCTTTGAAATATTAGGATTTGATATTCTGTTGGATCACAAACTCAAACCCTGGTTGCTTGAGGTAAGAACCACAGCAAAAGTCTCTTAGATCTCATAACATATTGTGACAAAGTTCCTCCTCTATCTTGGTGGGTCCTGCGCTTATTGGCTGATTTTCTTGACTCAGAGATTCACCACGTGGGTTGGGGAACAGCCCAGAGACCTTCCCCTCTGGAAGAACCCACAGTCCAGGTCAATTGGGAGGTTTGGGGGGAACCCAGGCCCGCCCTCTACTCCAGGTTCCAGCCCAGGGCCCTGTGGACTGCAGCTGTCTATAGTGCCTCCTGTAACAGCTGCATGACAGCTACAACTCCCTGGGCTACTTCCCCATGGCCTCCTCCAAACACCTTCCTTATTCTCACCACAGGACCTTCCTCCTGGTGTCTGATAACGCTAGTGCTCCTCAGTCCTCCAGCAGCACACCCTCTCACTCTCAACTCCTTGCGCCTCTTGCTCCCAGCTCCTCACACTCGCACCACACACTGAAGTGAGCTCCTTTTTAAAACCCAGGTGCCCTGATTAGCCTGGCTTAATTGATTCTAGCAGCTTCTTCTTAATTGTCTCCAGGTGTCCTAATTTGCCTGCCTGCCTTAACTGGTTCTAGCAGGTTCCTGATTACTCTAGTGCAGCCCCTGCTCTGGTCACTCAGGGAACAGAAAACTACTCATCCAGTGACCAGTATATTTGCCCTCTACCAGACTCCTGTACCCCACTGGTCTGGGTCTGTCACAATATCCATACCATGAACTGGTATCCTTTTTCACCCTTCCCTACCTGTGGGGCCAAATTCAGCCAAATGAGTTGCTATCACCAGCCTCTTCCTTAACACCGATTTTTGCCTTTTTCATTTCTCTAGATCTCCTAACAAAAGTCCATCCTGTAGCATCTCCTACATTATTCCATCAGCTTGGAAAGCTGATGGGTGACCAGCAGAGGGGGTGAGACTACAGATAAGCTGCTAATAGTCATTCCCACAGACAGTCACATTGATCTGTAGCCTTGAAATTTAAATCTGTTCCTGCATGTGGGAATCCTAGCTCGTGAGGACAGCCTTACTCTTCAGTTCTTTGAACAAAGGAATCTTCCAGGGTTATCCATTAACCTCAATGGGAGCTGCACCTGCTAATACCAGAGCCTGAATTTGGTCCTCACAGCATATCAAATTAATATAAGTTACTGATCTTGCACTGAATACCAAATTGATTCAAGCTACATCACTCTGCCACTTGCACCTGTTTTCTGCCAAATCTATCCCACCCATTATGTCACTTCTGAATTTGACCCATGGAATCCTACTATACACCTGTATCATACATTGAAGTCTGGCAAGGATCCTTGCCAACGCTAGATTTTGACTGGAATCCCCAGTAATCTAGATTTCAGATTAGTTTAATGTCCTGAGTTGTAATTTCCATTGGACTGCAGCAAATAGATGACATTCTTGTTGTTGTTTCAGGTGAATCACTCTCCAAGCTTCACCACTGACTCCTGGTTAGACAAAGAAGTGAAGGACCAGTTGCTGTATGACACTTTGGTTCTGATAAATTTAGGGGCCTGTGACAAGAGAAAAATCCTAGAAGAAGAGAAACGGCGAGGGAAGGAGAGACTCCTGAAGCAATGCCGTTCTCGAGTGACCAGGTGTGTTCTCATACAGCTTCATCTAATTTCCTCATGTGAGCCATAATTTTAAGGTGTCCTGCAAAGAATGTTTTTAATTAGTTTATTACCTTTTTTTTTTTTTTGCTTCTTCATGGTGTATACAGATGGCCTGCACAGATATTTTTAAAGGTTTTTTCTTTCCTGTTTTTTTAACCTTAAAAATACCAGGAATGTAAAGTCTGGTCTTTCCTGGCTTTGTTGGAGCGCCACTGGGATTTGTAAGGGCTGTTTATTATAAGCTCTTCACAACTGAATTGAAAAAGTGAGGGTGCTGAATGTTTAACAAAATCTTCCTTTATTCAAAATGTTAATTAACATTTCATTGAACAATTCGTTTAAAGTAACAAAAATAACCTGACCAAAAATTCCTTCCCCTCTTGATAGCTCATCTTTCACTTTCTTGGCTGTTCTGATGGCATCATTTCACTAGTTCTTTAGTCATCATAGAGTCTTCCAGCTTAGACAGTTCCCGTATTTTTAATGTAAAAAAGCAAGCAAAAAATAAAATAAAATTTCAGGCCCTCGTTAACAACCGTAGGGAAACCAGAAAGACAAGCTCATTTTTTTTCCTTTGCAGATAATCTTTAAATGTATGTTACAAGTTATGTAGGAAGATACATGAGAACCGTTCTACATTTCACCAAAACTAAGATGACAGGATTAAGGATGCAATTACAGTGTGAAATGAAAATAACTCCTGCTCTGGAGATTTCTCCGAGCGCTTAAAATGCTGCAGCTGTGCTCCTGTAGCGCTTCAGTGAAGATGCTACCTACGCTGAAGGGAAGACTTCTCCTGTCGGCGTAGGTACTCCACCTCCCGGAGAGGTGGTAGCTATGGGCTTGTCTACATTACCCGCTGGATCAATGGGCAGCGATTGATCCAGCGAGGATCGATTTATCACGTCTAGTCTAGACGCGATAAATTGACCGCCGAGCGCTCTCCCGTCGACTCCGGTACTCCACCAGGGCGAGAGGCGCAGGTGGAGTCGACGGGAGAGCATCAGCCGTCAACTTACCCCAGTGAAGACACCGCGATAAGTAAATCTAAGTATTCCCCCCCACCCCCCGCAGTGTAGACCAGGCCTATGTCAATGGGAGAAGCCCTCCCATCGACTGGGAGTCAAGTCGGTATAACTGCATTGCTCAGGGATGAGAACAATGTAGTTATAGCAACATAAGTTCCTAGTACCAAGCCTGGATCCCACATGATTTGTTAATGGTTATACCTGAATTTTTTTTTTTCAGGGCTGAGGAGTATAGGAACTGCCAGGCCACTTGGTTGAAACAAGCTGAGAAATATGAGGAGAAAAACATAGGTGATTTTCGCAGAATTTACCCCAAATCTGATTTGGACAAATATGATAAGTTTTTCCAGCACAACAATTCACTCTTTCAGGAGACTGCAGCTTCCAGGGCACGAGAAGAACATGCTAGGTAAGGAGGATTTCCAGCTCAGTTTTTATTAGGTAGGGTGGAGGATGCATTCTGAATTCGTGTTAAATAATAATACCCATCACTTACACGGCACTTTACATTAACTGATGGTTCTTTGAGATGGCCCTGTCAGATAGGTAAATGAGTATTATCAATCCTAATCTGACAGGTGGTAAAATGGACACACAAAGGTTAAGTGACTTGCTGTCAAAGCCAGGATTAGAATTCCAGAGTTCCTGAGTTCAGCGCAGAGCTCAATACTCTGAATCATGTTGCCTCTAGATCTGACCAGACTTGTTCCATATAAGGCAGAATTTGTAGCCAAGATCCAGTCAGTGGGACTGGTATCATCAGAACTATTTTAGAACTGTTAGGACCCATTTGTATCTTTATCTACAGACAGCAGCTACAGGAGCTGCGAATGAAGCATGAGCAAAAAACAGCCCATTTGCGAGAGAAGAAGATAGAGCTGCTGGGGGAGTCTGGATCTGAGAAGATAAAGACTTTCAAACAGAAGTTAGTGAGCAGGGCAGCTACAGCACAAGGATTAAGACAGGTATGATTTAGGGGGAAGATTCCGTTGATTTTTCACTAATTCTCCTGCTTCTTGGGGCATGGGGAATAGAAGCCAGAAGGTCAGAAATAGGACATCCACAAGAAAACTAATGAGATGGGATAATAATGGTGATGCGCATATTATATATAAAAAGCCTCCACTGGTGTTCACAAACTTTCAATTTTCTCCACTCAAGCAGGTGAGGCCCCAGGCTAATCATCTACAGTCTTTTCATGTAGGCAAATATGTGCATCCTATAAGCAAATATTGTCACCTTTTGTCAGACATCAGAAGTGTTTTCTAAAAACACTGCTGAAGACAAGATAACTGGTGCTCAATTCTCCCCTGTCTCTGAGGTCAGCCCGACACTGAGGAGGTCCACCAGGGGTGTGGTTACAGCATCAATTAGTTTGGCCTGTGTGTTTCTCTAACTTTATTTCTGGCATAAAATCTCTAAGGACTTTATGCCAGTGGAGGATTGGTGCAGTGGAGCTCTGCTGTGCCACACCACCAAAATGTTTCCTCCTTCCGTCAGCAGTCCACCTATACCAGATTGGTGAGGGGTCATCTGGCAATGGACATGCCTCCCCTAGGCTTATACAAATGGAGAGTTCCCCTCCATAAGGGGAATTCTCCACTGGCCATTTACAGCCAGAATATGGCCCTTTTGTGCCGTTTGCACCAGAGAAACTGGCCCTGGCTCTTCTGGCAACAGTGTTGCTCTTTATTCATATGAGATTTAATTTATTTTTTTTTCCATTCTCAGCATTATCTTTGTTCAGAGTCAGGACCTCGTGCTTGTCTCCTGCTTCACAGTTTCTCAGGTGAAAAAGAAACAAAAAAAGAATTGGTTAATGGGGAATCAAGCATCCCACCAAAAGAGCACCCCAACACTCACGAGTATTCAAATGCACCTGAAAAACAAGCGGTACAGCACTGCAGCTCCATGCCAGACTTGACAGTGCAGAACTCAACTAGTGCCCCGGACCAGTACAACTCCAACCGTGACCTGAGGGACCGCACAGTACATGGTCATCACTCTGCAGCAGATATGGACATCAGATTAATAGTAAGTAGCAGAACACTTGTAAGTACGTATTTGTAGTAGTTTGCCTATATTTCTATCTCCAGTCCATTCAAACATCCATCTCAGACTGGAAATGACACTTAATGTGGGCCCAGAACCAGCCTACAAACTGTCTATTGCCTACTTTGCTTCAGGCTCACTGAAGAGGTTAATGTGAGCATGTGCTCAACTCAATTAATATTAACAGGGGAGAAGGACTGTCAAAATAGAGAAAGAACAGATTATAGAATATTTAGGTAAATTAGATAAATTCAAGTCATCCGATCCTGATGAAAATCATCATATGATACTTAAGGAACAAGTTTAAGCAATATCAGAACGGTTAGCAATTATCTTTGAGAAATCACGGAGGATGGATGAGATCCCAGAGGACTGGAGCAGGGCAAACATAGTACCTACCTTTAAAAAGGGGAACAAAGAGGACCCGGGGAATTATAGACTAGTCAGCCTAACTTTGATAAAAAACCTGGGCTTGTTTAGCCTTGAGAAAAGAAGACTGAGGCGGGGTCTGATAAGTCTTCAAATATGTTAAGGGCTGTTATAAAGAGGATGGTGATCAACTGTTTTCCAAGTCTACTTTTGCTAGGACAAGTAGTAATGGGCTTAATCTGCAGCAAGGTGGATTTAAATTAGATATTAGGAAAAACTTTCTAACTATAAAGAGAGTTACGTTCTTGAATAGGCTTCCAAGGGAGGTTATGGAATGCCCATCACTGGAGGTTTTAAAGAACTGGTTGGGCAAACATCTGTCTGAGGTGATTTAGATTTACTTGGTCTTGCCTCAGTGCAGGGGGCTGGACTTGATGACCTCTTGAGGTCCCTTCCAGCCCTGCATTTCTATAATTCTGTTATTCTACAAAGGGTATAATTCTAATGGAAACTACTCTGTTATAAAAACAACAAGGAGTCTGGTGGCACCTTAAAGACTAACAGATTTATTTGGGCATAAGCTTTGGTGGGTAAAAACCTCACTTCTTCGGATGCATAGAGTGAAAGTTACAGATGCAGGCATTATATACTGACACATGGAGAGCAGGGAGTTACTTCGCAAGTGGAGAACCAGTGTTATTAAACAACAGGATCAATATACTGCCCATTCTGATTACACAGTAGCTACAAAATCAGTCCTTGTCAGCAATGATCAGATAAGTCAGACGTCAGAGCAGGACAAAAAAATGTTGTGGTAGTGTCCAAGCCAGATCCACCCACAATTTCAAGATCCTCCCACAATCCCAGAATAGCTAAGTGTTGCTACTAAAATCAGCAGCAGTGAAATGGTTAATGTTGACATTTAAATTATCATCATTAGAGTACAAAGTCAGCACCCCATTGAGGTTAATGGGACAGTTTACAGCTTACAGATTTTTCTTCCAAAAGTATATTCAACTGTCATTTGCACCTGCTGAGATGGTAGTTGAATCATTCCTTGGTGCTGTCAAGGTGGCCGACATATAGTTTCATGAGCAAGGGAACACCCCACTGAGGTTAATGGGATAGTTTACAGCTTACTAATTTTTCTTCTTTTTTTTTCTGAAGACTCATTCAGACAACACTACATTATATAAGCTGGACGTTATCTCCTCAATCATAAGAGTTAAAAATGTAGACCTTGAATCTCTGTTTCTCCAAGCCTATGCTTCACAAAGGAATGGAAGTGGGTGCAAACATGACTTTAAGGCAGTACACTCCCCAGAACCTTGGAACAGCTGTTAGCCTGCCTAGCCTCCAGCATAAATATAGCAGCCTCGAGGATTCTCCAACCCATGCTCTGGCCACAGCAGCCCCATATGGGTCCTGTGACAGGTGATAATATCTGGAGAGCAGTATGCTAAGACTGTCCCTTCCCTCCTCCAGTGTGCCCACTTCACTGCCTCTCTCCTATAGAGACAGATCTGCACTGGCCTGGGAACCCCCATAAAGTGGGGTATTTCTGCCCCCTTTGTAGCTCCTAAACTCCACTACAGTAATGTAAAGGGGGTATTAGCATAAAAGAGAATCAGGCCTTTCGTTTTTTAAAATAATAATCAAATTTCAAATCCAGTAGAAACTGCTGGGGCCACTAGAAAAGTTTTGGTCCTAGTTACCACCAGGCTCAATCTGACTCCTGCCCCTCACTAACTCGATCTTTCTGATTTTTCCCTCCAGCTCCAAACACCAGTGGATTGTTCCATAGTATCAGATAATCCAATTCATTCTTCTTCAAAACCTTTCTCAACATTGGCTCAACCTCGGACTGCAATCACAACAGCAACTGACGTGGTTTACTGTGACAGCACAGTCACTCAGAACTTGGTGCCATTTGGATGCCAGAGAGAGCAACTCCAGCCCTATGTCAGGGAGAACTTGACCTCATACTCAAAAGTCCATAGACCATACAAAAACTTGTTAGAGCCTGAAATAGAAAAGAAACCTATCTTGGTGTCAGAATTCTTCAGCAAACTCAGTTTCACACCAGGGGAGAAGGCCCTAATATTCCCTTTTTGCCACCACCCTCCTCTCATCTATAGAACACGTGAGTGTCATCTTCATGGAGCACATTTGTATTATATCATCTAAGTGCCTAGTGCATCTCTGTGGAAACACAGGGTGAAAGCCCCAGTGTGCCTCAAACGTACATGGTTATTACAACACAGAAGGAAATCTTAGCATACCCACAAGTCTTTGTGTAAGAATACAGTAGATCTGCCCCTATAGTATTCTGACACTCTGTCCCTCTATCTCTTCTCCCTTTGTATCTCAGATTCAGATACATAGCCATGGACTCTAGGAAAAGAGGTCTGGGGTGCGTATTGATTGCAGAATATAAATCGGACTTTTGTTTACACAGAAAGTGCTTTCCACTCCAGGAGAATCCATCTGAGTAGCAGAAACTCCACAGACAAGAGACAAGCGAAACTTCAGAGTGCTCAAACAGTATTCCAAAAAACTACTTGTCACCAGTTCAGCCTTCAGGACCTTTTGGTGATCTCCAGCCCAGGTCGAGTGGACCCGCGACCTAGGAAAAGCAATACCCTAACTTCAGGGGATATTCCGACGGGCAGGTAATGGGTAGAATCACACTGCTATAATATTGTAGAAGCCAGTAGCGTTCTGGCCTGCTTCAGGGAATACTTTGCAGTTAATGGACATTGATCGGTGAGGGGTAAATTGCAGTGTGAAATTATGCTGTTTAAGTGGACCTGGTCAGTTTATAGATGTGAGATCAGGTTACTGCAGGAAATCATGTTAGTCACATGACTCAGTCAGTGATATTCTTTCCTCTGAATAATCATTGTATTAGTCTCTCAGCTTGATGCTCAGGTGTTCTGTGCTTAATGGTATTGGGTAAAATTTTCAAAAGTGCCTAAGTGCCATTTTCAAAGGTGACTTAGGTACCCAGGTCCTTGAAGGTATATAGGCACCTAACTCCCACTGAAATCAATCTAAAAATCAGTGGGAGCTAGGTGTTTAAATGGCTTTGAGGATCTGAGCTTTAAGTGCCAATGTCACTTTTGAAAATAGGAATTAGTCTCCTAACTCACTTAAGTATGGATTTTTAAAGGAATTTAGATGCCTGAATATGCAGACAGACACCTAGTGGGATTTTAAAAAACACCTAGGATCTTTAGGAAAATCCCGCTAGGCACCTATAGGCATCTTTAAGTGATTATATACCTCTAAAAATCTGGCTGTGAGGCACTTCTGAAAATTTTACCCAGCATCTTTTGATAATATGTAACACTAAAGCCTGGAACACATGGGCTCAATTAAAATCCCCTGACACTTTTTGTAACACCAGGGGGTGCTAGATCCAGTCTCCTTTCATGCTGGGTCATTACATTCTGCCTTCCTAGATTCCTGCTGTAGTTTCAACTGGATACATTCTTCTTCACTTCCCTACCTAAAGATTATTGGATAGTGCTGCTACTGTAGAAAACTTGCGGCATTTCATTGTGGGGTGACTAACGACTATATGTTTAGCACTTTGGGATCCTTCAGAATGAAATAGGTGTAATCTATTAATATTGTGATTGTTGGCATTGGTCAGTTTCTGGTATAAATTTGCATATAGGAATAGCAATGAACTCATGCAGTGATCTGGGACAGGGAGGCACAAGAGAGAAGGTGCATTCCAGGGAGAGAGAGGGCAGATTCAAGGTTGCTACAGCAGTGAGTATAGCCCACAGCATAATTTATAGGAACCTCCACAGGACTGTCTATGGATTGCGCAACATAATCCTTCACAGCACTGAGTGCTGCACTACTCCACCTTTCTCTGAGGGCTTTGAGAGGGGTATATAGGGCCTCAGATATTAGCCTGATATAGCTCTTGTACCCAAGCAATTCTCCCAACACTTGTGGCTTCTTTCTGGGCCCTATACACTGCTGGAGAGGTGAATAGTGGCTGGAGTGGGGGGCAGAATTGGTCCCTAACTGGCATTATGCAGTGTGATATCTGACTCAAAGCTGATCTGTTTTCTTGGTCTGAACTGTAGCTAGTCTGAAAGTAGAATGTTGAAAATGAGGGTGCTGCCTACTCACGCTGCCTTCTTCACTTTCACCTATCATATGTAATGTTAGAACTTCTATGAAAAGTGCTAGGATGAATGTATCTCAGTCCACCTATTCAATGTGTGTGGTGTTGTATTTCCTTCCTTACAGGGCCTGAGCAGAACTGCGGCACTGTTTTGCCTCCTGAAGTCTGAGAGATGCTCACTCCTGTAGACAATCTGTTCATCAGGAACGGACAGAAACAGTTTGTTGTTTCTTTTCAAATATACTCCTTGGTGATTGCCTCCAGTGATACAGCTTCCATAGCATGAAACATCAACGTGTCACCAATGACATTTGCATTCCAAAAAAAAAAAAAAAAAAAAACCAAGTCAGGCGTTTGTGGGTGTCTTGATGTGAAACTGTCGTACTGGAACTTGATGTACATCTCTTCCCTTTGGCAGTGTCTGCTTACTGCCAACTCTTCTTTTAGTTTAGTGAAAAATTCGTTTGTAAGGAGAATTCCAGTGTGACGTCTGCTCTATTCAATTGAACATCAGCCATTAAAGGGAAAATTCCCTGCACTGAATTTCAGCTGCACAACCCCTAATAATATCAGCTGGAACTGCACAGCTGAATCCCTGCAGCATAATTTGAAAATTTACCCTGAAATGTGCAGGACACATTTATTTTAGCTAATGTAGCGTGAAGTTCCAGTCCTGACTTTTAACAAGAGTTCAAAGGAAATAAAAATGGGCAGTATAGCGTAGAAGGGCTTTTACTTTTCAGGGCCACAGAAAGCAAAGGCAAAAAGCTGAAACAAAAAGCACAATGGGTACATCCTGTGGCAGAGTAGTGAAGATGCTTTCTATATTGACAGAAGGAGTTTTTCCATCAATGTAGTTAATCCACCTCTCTGAGGGCTGGTAGCTAGGTCTACAGAAGTATTCTTCCATTGACCTAGCTGCGCCTACATTGGAGGTTTGGTTGACCTCACTATGTCGCACAAGGCACAAAACTTTTCATAACCCTGAGCGACGTAGCTAGGTCAATCTACATTTTTAAGTGTAGACTCCCCCAAACGTGATGCTGCAGGTCTTTAGATTCTGTAGTGTTTGTAGTTTAGATTCTTCCATTCGGAGCCAGTATTTTGCACTTAACGCTCTCAGAGAGTACTCAACCCTCATAAAAATGCCCTTTGTTGGCCCAGTCTCCATCTGATTAGTGGGGACAAGGTCTAAAATCGCTCAGAGAAGTTAATTCATTTAACGGGGCTGCTTCTTTTTCAAGTTGTGTTTCTGAACATGCATGTTTGATTATAAAATTCATAATGGCAATGGCTACTCAGATCATGCTGAAAGCCGTAATACAGAGAGGATGGATGGATGTGGTATGGGACACAAGGGTGAGAAACGCAAGTACTGCTAGTTAGGAAATGCATTTGTCTATTGGAGATGTGCTAAGATCTACCACCTTTTCATAATGGAAAGTCTTTTAAATATTTGCAGTTGAAAATCCCCCTAGTTCATTATTAATTATCGTATATAGTGCCAACAACACTGCAGATCTGCAAGAAGGCTCTCGCCTTTCCCAGCGGGCTTACAGTTTAAGCAGTGATTTCTACAAGCATTGATTTCATTGGGAGTTTTACCCAAGTAAGGAATGCAGGTTTAGGCCCTACACTCACAGGGCTAAATCCTCTGCTCTAAACCACCTTCAAGCTTGCACTGCTCTCCAGTGGGGCCTGCAGTGACCTCCAGCACAAATTAAAAAAAACCAAGGGCTGCTCTAAGTTGCATCAGCTTGTAATAGCCCCCAAGGTTCATTGGAGCACACTGCATTTAAGTCTTGCCCCATACTTGGGGAGGCATGCAGGCCCTGGCATAGAACCAGCTAGTCTAGCTGTAAACCATCTGAGGATTACTCCACTCCAAGGGAATCCCCAGACCCATCAGCTTTATACCAACTGAGGATTCCCACAGGCCAACGGAATCCCTACTGCACACTTAGTGCAGCTTTAAGATCTCTTTGGACCATGTTCCAGGATTGGTCCCATAGCAACCAGTTCCAAATTATTTCACACATTTTCCTCAATAGGAACAGAAGTGTAAATAAAAAGAACAAGAAGATTTCTCCAGAACAGGGAGGAACCTAGTCTGAGCAAGTGAGCTGTAGATGATAACTACTATTCATTATTTTACAGTGCCTAAAGATGTGGTAGAGCCGAATACAAGTAGAAAGAGAGAGGTCCCTGCTCAAAGAATTTACAGTATCATATTAGACATGACAGAACAACTGGGTATATTTAATAGTATGGGAGGGTGGAGGTGAGGAAGATCAAGAATTCCAGCAACAAGACTTAGTTTCTTGAATTAGGCTCATGTAATGGAATTTCTACCAGCAGGAGGAAGAGGTTATTTTCTTTAGTAGTTAATATTATTAGAGATTATAGGCTCCTTTATTGTGGGGTATTACAGAAGGCTATTTTAAGCCTACATAGTCTCTTAATGATCTTTGATCTTTTACAGTATTAAAGGGAATGTTTCAAGGGAGAATATTTAACTATCTGAGAAACAGTGTTTCTGTTCTTACAATTGGGAACGTTCAGAGGTGGTCCAAAGTGGGGAAATCAATTTTTTAACTTCTAATTCCCCCAGTGCCATCCTTCCTTCGCACACGTTCATGGTCTGATCCAGATTGAGATAGTTGTAGGAAAAGAGGCTACAAGGAAAGCAAGAAGGAACTTCTAGGCCATGATCTTTGCAATAAGCAGTTTCTTTGGAACTGGAAACCTGTCTTCTACATTAGGGTTCATTGGGCTGTTGCTCAAGAACAGCATCACTTCAAAGCAATCTCTTCTTCAAAGGCATCAACAATATGTATTGAGGCCCTTTCCTCTGGGAGAGGTTTGAATTTGCATGGACTTTCAACATGATTATAACAATCAGGGCAGAGCTGGCTCTAATTAAACGTTAAAGATGAAATTGAATGTTTTGAAAAAAAAAATATTAACCATCACATACCATCCAGAGACTAGCTGTGGGCTTAAAATGCACAAATTAAATACATTTTAAAACAAGATCTTTGGAAATCACATTTCCTTGGCAAGTTCTGAGTTTGAGTCCAGATTTCCCCTACAAACAGCACTTAGAGTCCCAATCCAGCAAACATATGAGTTTGTGACAATGTGTCATTATTTTAGCTATGGATTTACCTCTCTTATTTGGGATATGAAATTAATTTTAATTTGTTTTTACAAAAGCCTCTAATTCACCATTACATTATCAGTACAAAACCCCAGGACTATATGTTCCAAGCTGTGAAACCATTTTAAACAGAGCTGTTGAATAATATTTATCAGATAATTATTTGTGATTTCCCCCCACCAATCAACAGATAAATGGTGTGAATTTTTTCTCAATGATTTAACCAACTCTGGTCATTAGCAACAGACAGATGTTAAGATCTAAAAGCTACTAATAGGGGCATATTAGAGACATAGATTTAGGGCTGCCACATCTTTAACTACTTTGCAATGAATTAGATTTGATTAGCTTTTGGGAACAATGGAAACATTCTTTTAGGAGTGACAGAAAGCTAAGTAGTGCTGAGCCTAGGGAATAAATGCGCCTTTGTTTAATTGCTGGACATTAAAATACTCTTGAAACATCCTCTCAAAAACACTTATTGCCATTACCTAACTAAAATTAACCTGGGAAATGACAAAAATACCCCAGTCCTTCTGTTAACTAGCTGACAGAGACAAAGGAATATTTGCGGTTGAAAGAGCAAGTTCAGGGAGATGCATTTGGTGACAAAGGATTACACAGCAAAAAATGTAGTATAAAATACAGCATTTGTATTTTAAGCCTGTAACTGCATGGCATACTGAGAGCTTGTAGGTGGTACCTGCCCTGTCAGCAGTGCTTTTGGCATTTTTCTCCATCTGTACTCATTAAAGGATGGCTTGCTAAGGCTCTCTTTCCTTCATCTGCTAGTTCTCTATTGATATATGGATTTGTGATGACGTGCCACCCCTTATGTTGTGTTTAGAGACAAGTTTATTAATCTTATTTAGGCCTATATGGCCAATTAAGTAACTGGTCTGCCTACCCACATCTGCCTTCTTTTTCTGGTCCTTATGAAAAGCAAAACTATCTCATTCGCCACTCCTTGAATTACCCACACACCCCACTATCTTTTAAGATGTTTTCAAGATTGCCAGAATTGCCTCTTTTTTTTAAATCATGCATGTAGGGGAAGAAATAGCTCTCAGAGAAGAGCATAACCTGATGACCATTATCATGAAAGATTTGGGATAAGGGCTCAATCTGTCGAACTGGGGAGCCGTCGTCTTAAATCAGCAAAGCCCCCCAAGACATGAGTCAGCTGTTAAAATTAAGCATGTGCTGAAGTGCTCTGCTGGATTGGGTCCAGAATGCACAGCACTCTGTAGGGCCCTGTCCGAGGATCCCACGTAGCCTGCCTCGTCCTTAAGACTTCGCTCTTGAGACACACAGGTTCATCAGCATCTGAGCCAAAGGATGGGGAAGTTTTTCCACTGTGAATGCTCTTCAGCAGCTCAAGTAGGGAAGCTGTCTTCACAAAATGAGGAAGTTGTCAGCCTTTAGCATTAATTCCTCTTATACTCTCCAGCGGCGGTGAATCACATGCAGGAGAGAAACTCACTGATGTCAGATTTGTTCACAAGTGCCTGAATAATGCTTATTTAATACCAGAAAACCAGGAAAATTACACTGTCTACATAATATCTATACAAAAGTTCACTGGCCTCTTATTGCACCTCCTCACCTGTCTGCCCCAGTATATTGCACTATATGATTTTGCAATATAAAACAATACACCTCTAAAAACAATGTTTTTAAAAGGATCAAAGCCTGCATTGAACATCAATGGGAATTAACCCAGATTGGGAGTTTAGGCATGTAAATGCCATTGAGGATCTGGGTTTAACCCCTGACCTCACATTTATGCCTTTGAAAGCCTTCTCTGACATTCCTAGCTTTCTGTCTTGGATTTAATTCCTATTTTAGGCTGGGATCCTTTCTGAGCCAATACGCTCTCCCATGCAATGAGGAGGGGACATTTTTTAGGCACTGAAAAATCAAAGACCCCCCTCCACACACACAGACACACTTTTTTTGGTGTGTTTATTTAAACAGTAAGTAATTGTCTACTATGGTTAAATAGACTGAGACAAATGTATCACTGCTGCTGTAATTCCACTGACCTCAGCAGCATTAAACCAAGGATGAATCTGGTCTATGCCATCAATCAAATGTTGAAGCAGGT